TTATAAAAATAATTAACATGTTAATAGTAAATTAATTATAGTAACAGAATTTTCTGTATGAAGGATATTGAAGCGACGGTCAATTCAATAAAACTTTTCTTTTACTCATTTATTCTGCATAGATGTGTTGTACATGGACATACCCATGTACAAATGGGGCATTTGAATCATTGTTCCTTTCTGTAGCAATGCCCAGGAGAGCATACTATATCAATATATTAAAATAACATTTTTAGAATATCTTTTTTGCCGTTGGGATGTTTTGCGCTAAGTAGTTGTCATCATGAATCCAACAATTCTTGACCCAGAAGACTTTAAATGCTGAAGACTTTTGCAATTTCTTATTGACATAAACAATTTACAACAATTTTTCACAACATATAAGTGTGAGTTTTAAGTAAGAATTTTACAATTATAGAGAAGACTGAATCAGTCTGAAATAAGTACGCGTTCATCCAGTTCGACTAAAGGGCAAGATGAGTTATTTTCGGAGTTCGTTAAGTGTTTTGTTTCTAGTTAATATTTATTGCAAACCAATTTTTTGCCGGTTTTTTTTTCCTACAAACAGTGCTTATGGTGTATGTAATTAATATTTTACAATTTAATATTTGATATAAGTAAAGATTTAATAAAATGGATTTTACGATGATAATTTGTGGAAAATGATTTACTTTTCTTAAAGATTCTTGCACAACTTAAACTTTCTTTGGAACCACCACTTCAAGATGTTTTTATCACATATAACTTTGAAGCAAATTACAATTTACCATACACCTGGGATCTGCCTCCATATGCAGTAAGTTAGATTTACAACTATTGAGTTGACAAAGAATCGTATAAAGATTTTAATTTTTAATGCTCGTAATCAATACTTAATAAGTATTGTATTATTATGATTTAATTAAAGAAACATAAAATATAGACAGATTAGTATGGAGAAAGAGATCTCCAGGTCTATCTTAAATTATTGAACACCGCTTTGAAATGACTCTTTCTCGAAAGAAAACATATGTTTACAGTCAGTTATATTAGCAGAAAGTACTATACCTAATTAGTTGAAAATTAGACTATGTAAGTATGAAGGAAAATATGAGGTTGTTACGATATCTCGGTTTGAGACGCGATCTTAAAAATTTTGTAGGATGTGATAACATGCAATTTTTTATATTTTAATTGTTTTCAAAAAGTTTGAGAACCTGAACAATGTTTGCTTTGAGTGATCACTTTCTGGCGAAATAAATTAGGAATATTTAATGTAGTTGAGATAAAAAATTAATTTGAAATTTTAAAGAAGTGATATTTCAACCGCATTTTAATCAAGTTTTTTATAAATGATTAAGATGAAAGAAGTACCAAAAAAAAACATTTGACGTATAAATCCTAAGTGGAAATATTTCACTTCTGTTTTTCTAAATTCAATAAATCATGTAATTATAATGCACTGTTATTATATAATATTAACAGGGTGTTTTCATACAAAAAAAAAATTTAAAAAATATAAAAAAAAAATTAAAAAAAATGTAAAAAAAAATTAAAAAAATCCACTTATTTTTATTGCCAAGTTCCTAAGCAATATGCGTAAGTAAAAAATTGCATCATATATAAATTCATTATTAAGTTTATTGCGACAGTTATTATTACCAGTCCGCTCGGGTGTCTAACATAATATAATGTTTTTTAAAATAATTGCTGCTAACATTTTCTTTGCGAATAAGGTGATTATCTGCAGCACTGAAACTAAATTTTATATTAACCTCAATATCAAATATAATCCAACTGTTGCCGTTACATTTATTTATTGCTTTCTTTAATTATACTAAATGAGAATTATAAGGCTGACTTGTGCATTTTCACTTATAAAATTTTATTGACAATTAGAATTGAATTTTTTTTACATATAATGAATAACAATATATTAAGCTTAACAAAAAAATGAAAAGTCCATATTTGAATAAATAGTAAAAAAGTTATAAAGGTTCAAAGCTCGTCCAATTTTTGTGAAATCGCAATTTTGCTAAAATTGCATAAAACTGCATATAAGTTAAGAAGAAATGCGCGGGTCACGGCTATTTTTTCCATAAAGTTTAAAGCATTGTTTTATAAGTAATAAATACATATAGTCTAACAAGAACAAAAAGTTTTTTGAAAGATAATTAACGATTTTTTGTGAAAATGGACTATTTTTGGCCCTTAATTTGGAAGGTTTCTGGTAAGCCGAACTAATTTGGTCTAAAATTAAATTCAAAAGAAAAATCATCTCAAATATGAAGTTTTAGCAAATTTTCATTTCAATATCTCTGATGGTTTAGAGATAACAGAATTTATATATATATTATATATATATATACAAGCAATTTATATTTTGAAAATATTTTATGTTTATTTCTTATTTTCTTTGAGAAAGTTTTTATTTCAAAGAATCTTTCTGGGTGAGTCGATCTTGTATTTACAAAAAAAAGAAAATAAAATCATACATAAGAATAAAATTGGATACTCTCTAACCAGTTAAAGTAGGTTTCTTATATTTTTGAAAACCAAAGTTTCTATTGGCGAATCTTTATTAGAACTCGGGTTAGCTTTAAAACTCTGTGTTTATTACAAATCCATACATTTATTCTTCATTCTTTTGAAACTTGTTATATAATTATTTATTTATTTTGTTCTCACCTATATTAGCTCGAAGCAGCAAAAGAAAATTTATCTGATGTACGCAGCTTCAATAATGATAAATGTATTAATTGTACCATAGCAAAATCGGAAACAGAACAATATCTAGAAGTACAAACAACAAAATTATTAAATTCTATAGAAGAGACTACCTTCAATGAAACTAAACATGGGGAATCGATACGAAAGAGGAAGTCTCTTATAACGCGAATGGATTTTTATCATATTTTGAAGGATAAAATTCATAGGTAAAATTAAATATTATATTATATCATAGTTTATATTAATTAAAAGTACTGATTTCAAAATAATCTTATTTTTTTCATTTTAAAAAACACGTTCGTAGTTTTTATTAGATTACTACTCTATGTAATTTACTTTATGTTTATTGTTACATCCCTCATCTAGGATTATATATGGCTTTACTAAATAACATAGGCTTCGTTTTAGTCAATTTATAAGTTTTGTTAAATTGTTTTGCTAAACATTTGAAATTGTCACTTAACCTACATTAGATAGTTCCTAAGCAATATGCGTAAGTACCCGAGCGAACTGGTTATTATTACCAGTTCGCTCGGGTGTCTAACATAATATAACGTTTTTTAAAATAATTGCTGCTAACATTTTCTTTGCGAATAAGGTGATTATCTGCACTGAAACTAAATTTTATATTAAACTCAATATCAAATATAATCCAACTGTTGCCGTTACATTTATTTATTACATCCCTCATCTAGGATTATATATGGCTTTACTAAATAACATAGGCTTCGTTTTAGTCAATTTATAAGTTTTGTTAAATTGTTTTGCTAAACATTTGAAATTGTCACTTAACCTACATTAGATAGGTGGACAATCTCTCATATACATTGTAATGGATTAATTTTCTTTAAATTGCTACACTAATTAAGAAAATCTTTAAAAATTTATTTTCTCAAATTAACGTTCGATTATTTGGTAAAATCCTAAACCTTCAATAAATGCGCCTGTTAAAAGTTTTTGGGAAGAACAACATCTATAGGGAGTTCTTAAACTATTTTATTTCAAATCACGAATTCTTTTCAGAAGTGGATATAATGGTGAAGCTTGTTTGTTGCGTTTGATATGTGAAACGAACTCTTCTCAACTAGGACACATAAATGGAGTTTTGGGGAGTGTGATGCATATAATATTTACGTAACTTGCAATATAATAAATACATATTAAAACCGATTTAATTAATAAAATCTTTAACAGGCCAACAACATCGATGAGTGAAAACTTGCCGAAATCATATTATCAAGCAGAAGTAGATGGAGTGCATGAACAATGTCAAGACTATGAGAGAAAATGTAAAGAGAATTTACTTGATCTGATTTCTGAACCCTTACACAGTATTATAGATTCAATGACATTCAATAAATAACAAATTAAACAAAATTCGTTGAGATTATTTATTAAAGAAATAAGTTACACATAAATATAATCTTATTACAAACTGATCATAATTCTCGTAATTTTATATTTCAATGAAATATTGGGTTTATCTAACTTTCACATCGTATACGTATAAAGGCAGTATTCAACTTACATAAATGTATGTATGGAAAAAAGCAACAGGTAAGGCGCCAATAGCACTAAAAACGAGGAAAAATAGATGAAGCTGTTAAAGTACCAGTTAATAGCACTAATATTTATGAAAGAATGAGGTCACACATTGAAAATGCTATATGAACTATGAATTATCCGACCAAATCCCTGTATTTCAAATAAGTAAGCGTCTAACTATGTCTTGACATTAGAAAAAGCAAAGATTGAAGTGCTAGCTAACAGCAGCAAAAAGGGAATACAAACATTTCTAGACACGTAACTTTTGAACAAGGACTTTTTGCAAACACAGGCCAATTAAAACTATCTGTATGAGGAAATGAATTGAAAGCAAAGTCAATATAACTTCTTTTTATTGATATCATTTTTCATATAACTTCTGAGTTGTTTACTTACATATTTTGCTCATTATTTTGTACATGGGCATAGCCAGAAAGGGGGAATCTGTCTCTTAGTTCCTTCCTGTGACCCTGCTTATATCGACATATTACATATATAAATATTTTAGAGTAATTTATTTTGATTATTTTTTTTTGCTGTTATTGTCAAATAACGGGATATTTTGCGCTAAGTTCTTGTGATATTAAGTTCTGAAGTCTCCCGAGGTTTTTTATTGACATAAACAATTTACAACAATTTTCCACAACATATAAGTGTGAGTTTTAAGTGAGAATTTTACAATTATTGAAATAATTGAATCAGTCTGATATTAAGTACGCGATCATCTAGTTCAACTCATACGCAAGATGAGATATTTTCGGAGTTCTTTAAGTGTTTTCTTTTTAATCAATATTTATTGCGAACCAATTTTTTGCTGGTTATGGTTTCCTACAAATAGTGCTTATGGTGTATGTGAACTCTTTCTTTTAAAAAAAATATTTTAAAATTCAACATTCGATGGAAGTGAAATTTTTATAAAAATATTCCACAATAATAATTTGAGAAAATTATTTTTTTAAAGATTTTTGCAGCAATTGCAGTTCCTTTGGAATTACCGCATCGAAATGTTTTCGTTTCGTATAATTTTGAAGCAAATTATAATTTACCATACACATGGGATCTGCCTCCGTATGCAGTAAGTTAGATACACAATTATTGGGTTTATAAAGAATCTTATAAAGACTATTATTTTGAATGCATTTAATTAATACTGAATGATAAGGGATTTTATGTACAACACATATTTGTTAATAGTTTTAATAGTTAGGACTTGTAAATAACTTCAAGAATAATTATTCATAAATTATAGTGATTGAAATAAAAATACAAAAGATCAGAAGATCTTCTGAAGATGATATCAATTTTTGTTTAATATTTTTGATTTTTAACGTCCGTTTTAACGAAACAAACTTAATTCTTAATATAAACTATTGTTTTCAATAGAGAGGTATTTCGAACAGTTGTGAATTACAACAACAAATTTTTAATTATTTTAATTAATTGAATTTTAGCTGACCATACAACTGTTTCAAGTATTCCTAAATACCTATCATCAGTAGCCTTGGACTTATTTCTTATATTTAATTATTCGTAAATAGTTTTTGAGACTGCAAGTATTAAAGGACCAAGTCATACTCTGCCAAATTTGAAGCTCAGAGTCCGTGTACAAAGCCGTACTTGACTTAGGTATATATTCTCACTTGAAATTTTATTAATTTGCTATGAAAGTTCATTAAGAAATTCACTTGCTGTGTTATATTATATTTTTATTTTTATTAAATTTTAGGATATTTATAATATTTTAGATAATTTGGTGTAAAAAAGGAATCTCGCTTAACACCACTTCGAACTTACTTTTTCTTGAAAGAAACATTGCAAGTTGTTTATGGTCAGGTGATCGTATTCGTAACAGCAAGGACCTGACTTGAAAATTGGAATACGTAAATATGAAAAAAAATAATGAGGTTGCAAGAATGCTAATATATGACATTATTACGATATCTCGGTTTGAGACGCGATTTTATAAATTTAGTGGGAAGTGATAAAATGCGACTTTGATATATTGTAGTTTAAAGAAGTTCAAGATCCGCATAATGCTTTATAGAAGTGATCACTTTAAATATCCTTAATATTGTAGTTGAAAATAAAATTTATTTAACATTATTTATCATTTTGGTTATGGTGAAATCTTTAATTCGCATCTTGATCAAGTTTTTTGATAAACGATTTAGATGAAAGGTGAGGAAGAAAGAGCAACAAAATGAATCATTTGACGTATAAATTATAAGTAAAAATACTTGACTTTTGTTCTTTCTAAGCACAAATGCATTATTATAATATTTATAATATCTGTACATATTATACGGTGTATTTCCTAGAAAATAATATGGGAAGTCCTTAGCAAAAAAGTGTTTAATATTTTAAAAGTAATTACTCCACATAGTTAGTAACATTTAACATTTAAGTCACACTAACCGCTCAATATTGTATAAATTTTTTGTATTTTAATCATTTCTTCTTTTATATTTAATTTTTTTAAGACAAATGTTGAAGAAGAAGATTTTAAATTTTTTGTATTTTAATCATTCGTTCTTTTAACCTTAATTTTTTTAAGACAAATGTAGAGGAAGAAGATTTAGAAGCGCGTAACATAAAAGTAGAGGATTGCAATAATTGTACTCAATCTGAAAATGACTCATCAACTTCAACACCGTCTACAATTCCAGAGACCAATAAAAATAATACAGAAAATGCAGAGAAAAGAGAAATTAGATCGTTAATAACACGGAAACATTTTTATCATATCTTAAAGGATAAATTCGAAATGTATCTTATAAATATTTTTAATAAATATAATATTAATAAGAATTTTTCTTACAGGCATGGCTATAATGGAGAGGCATGTTTATTGCGTTTGATATGTGAAACGAATGCTTCTCATCTTGGACAGATTAATGGAGTCCTAGGCAGTCTAATACACATTATTTTTACGTAAATATAAATTTTGATATACTTCACATATTAGTAAAGTACGATTTTTTTTACAGACCTACAACATCTATGAGCGAGCAGTTACCTTTGTCGTATTATCAAGCCGAAGTAGATGGTACATATGAACAATGTGATTATTATGAAGACGCTTGCAAAGATAACCTACTCGATTTAATATCTTCACCATTGATTCAAATTATGAATAAAATAATGCCCCATTAAAATTTTGACAAAATTATTCAATTGATTTAGAATTTCTCCGCTTCAGTTGTATCCCAAACTGTGTAAATATTTATTTACGATTGTTTAAATTGTATATGACGTTTTCAATTAGCATGCTTAGTTCAGCATTAAAAGTTGTGAAATTTGCCATGGATAGTTCAATTGTAAGAAGAGAATATTTAACAGCTATAAACAGTTTTTGTTTGCGTTTATCATTTACAAAGATACAACATACCTAAAGCAATATTAAGATTTATTTTAATTTCTTTTTCATAATTTTGAACTAGTTTTCTACTATACTTATTTCTATTTTAAAGCTATACATGGTAGTACAAAATATAGCATTAAATACTTAGGTATCACGTTTGATAAGCGGTTCACTTGGCATAAGCATATACAAGTCAAAAGAAGCAGTTGCGCTAAAATACTGCAATGCTTACAACCATTTTTCAACCGTAGCGCGAAGAACAGAAAACTGATCTATAGCCAGATAATTAGACCAGCATTACTTTATGGGTGTGTCGGGTATAGCAAAGCTGCCGACTCTACTATACAAAAGCTACAAATTGCTCAAAGTCAGGCTCTCCGAAGACTCTTCAAAGTGCCTTGGTACATCCGTACAAACGACATGCTAAGAGACCTGATCAAAAAATACATAAGGGACAGAGCCCTGAAGGTATATGCGAAAACTGACAGGCTATCCTACTTAGCACTATCTAATCTTAGAGTAATCCTCTCCGCACGGGAAGGTACGCAGATCTTAGATAAATCACTGAATATTCATGAAGCTTATAAGGAATACATAAATTAGTCAATGAGATGGGTGAGACCCTGTAGTACCACCAGCTATCGAAGAGTAAAAGTGCCCAAATTAGCAAAAAAAAACTCCAAGTTCGAACATACACGTCAAGTGCAGCTTGGAGTCAGTTGATTAATGAACACTGACTCTGAGCTTTAAATTTGGCAGGGTATAAGTTCAACGCTTAATACTCTCCATCTTAAAAAATTCTTTACGAATAATTAAATATAAGAAATAAGTCCAAGGTTACTGATGATGGGTATTTGGCAATACTCGAAACATGTATGGTCAGTCAAAAATTCAATTAACTAAAATCGTATAAAATAATTTTTGTTGTAGTTCACTAGTTTTCGATACCTCTCTAATAAATAGTTTATGTTAAAATATTAATAAATTGAATTTGATTGTTTTATGCCCACATCTTGATAAAAAATGCATCTACTGGTTGCACCTAATCTCATCAACAATAACCTGTAAGTACAGGTGTCAGCAGATTGACACAACTCCTTGTTAAACTTATGATAATGTCTGTACTTTAGTGGTAAGTTTTCCAAGCGAGTTGTCCTGCATCAAGACGTTTAGAAGAGGGAATTGGAGTATGCATCTGCAATATTATTATGTTATACTAAAGATTAGTGCCCTATATAGCCAGTTGATAATCACTACAATTTCCTGCAATACTAGTTTGATCATATTAGATGAACGTTGCTTGCTTCACTTATCTCATTCTGTGATGAGCGATACAAAGCAACTGATCTTGACATCGTCACTACACTTGTTAGTGATTTGGAGGCAGTTTGAAAATTCATTGAAATGGTTATATACTGTCGCACTGATGCGATTATATGGTCCGTCTGTATGCAAATTGATTTATTGCTCCGTATTCAAACATAAACCTTTTATTGGATTTGATATTTTAAATTTATTTTGATAGATAGTGAGTACTAAAATATAAAACTATAAAAACTAAAGGGGTTCACCAACTTAATGTATTAAAAATTATGTGAATTTTATAGTCGATTAAATTTCTAATTATTTGTGTTATATATTAAGTACATATTTGATAACATTAATAAACTGTACTCGTATAGCGAGAATTAATTTTTGATATAAAAAGCATTTCAGAACGTTTTTACACCAATTGAAATGAACGTTATAAGATTATTAATAATCCTTTATGTTCTTATTGAAGTGATTGAAGCTTATAAGGAACCATGTCCTTACGGAGTAGAAGATGTGTTTAATGTTGGTAAATTTTGAATGATGTTAAAAAAATTAAATTAAAGTCCTATATTACAGGATCTTAAAACTTGTTGCAATGTAAATTTTATGAACATAAGTGGAATCGCACCAAACTGTGAGAATTACACTTTGTCAAATATATTTCCCAATTCGGAAAAAGATGGACATTACAACTATGCTAATCCGGTAATATTTGTTAAATAGAAATATACTTTTTATGTATAATTAAATGTTTGTATTTTCAAGTGTTTCATTGAATGTATGTTAAAGGAGTATAATGTCTTGGATGAGGAGCATCTGTACGTGGATAAACTTGAAAGTTTCTTAAGAAAATTATACGATGCAGATCAAAACGATATTATAGATTTGGCATTTGCTGGAATTAAAGATTGTGCTACAAATGTACATAATAAAATCAAAATTGGGCAACGTCATGGTTATATATTAAATACACCAAACTTTCATCCGCGTGCTGGCCTTACTTGCTCCTGGGTACCAATAACAATGGTACTCTGCACACATAGAAAAATATTTCAGAAATGCCCTAAGAGACATTGGAACAATAGCAAAAATTGTTTAAAAAAAAAAGAATTCTACGGTCGATGCTATGACACAGCTAATAAGGGTACATCAAGTGGTCTGAAGCTTGTTAGCAATAAAGAATTTTAATGAAAAAAATATATTAGCAAAATATTATTTAATAAAATATGTATTTTTATTTATTTAATTTTTTAATTTCAAAACTCTTTTATGTGTAAATATTAAATTTCTTGTGGTAGTCTCGTTATCTTAGCATTGCTCCATTGCTAATTCTGTACCTTCAATTTTAAGCTCTTACAGATTGAGTGAAAAAATATATAGAAGTTATAAAAATATTTTAGAATATTTTTAAAGTCTTACCTTGCTGTTGATCTATTTTGAAATTTAAATTGTTTGTTAATTGTTGGAATGCATTGTTAAACTTCCATATCTTTTTAGTTCCATCTGCAATACAACATTCTTAAACTTTCCGCATGCCCATGATCTCTTATAATCATTCAATTAGTGAGTTACCTATAGCAAGACTGCATTATGGTACCCATCTACCTCGAAGTCATCTGCCAGTAACACACTCATCGTCCATCATCAATTGACATTCCGGATTTGTTTTTGAAGTTCGTCTTTCCTGCAAAATGATAGATTCTATAAATATATCTTTTTACTGGCTATACTTATATCCATCTTATAATTATATATCACATGCGTCCTTCCACTTTCCTAACACCAAGTCTTCAATCTCGATTTTACTAACCAATCAGCAAAAAATCACACCACCACGGAGTAATATTAACTTTCATAGTCTTTCTCTGACTAACTTGACACTGTATAAAGTGCTAAGAACTGACCAATCTACCTATGGTTATTAGATCTAATGTCTTACCTGCTAATTTCGTATAAATAACATTTTAGAAAATTCAACATTACAGATATAAAATCTTAATATTCTCGTACGTTCATCATCGATGATTCTCATTCTTGGCTCTATTTTCAAATTTTCTAGACTCATGAATTTCACGTCTAATTGACAAATGTAAATTAACTGTGGATTTAAGTTATAACTCATTTTTATAATTTCAGTATAGCTGAACTAGAGCTTTCAAATGGTTAGTATACTTAAATAATACATTTGTAATTTTAATAATATTTTAGCATTTATAATTTTAGCGACATATAAGAATCTTTCTCGTTTATATCTGCGTAAAATGAGTATTACTTTGCCTTTTACGTATATGAAGACAATAAGACTACATCCGGTATGAATTCATGTTTTATATTGCCTTGTAATGAAGGCAGTAACAATAAGTAAGTTTCACCTAAATCATTAAATCATTCACCTAAATCTAAACTTCATTCATTCAAACATATTAAAAACTGCTATATATTTAGGATATAAATGGTTGTTATGAAAAATTATAGAGGTTTATATTCATTTTAAGTAACAGTTGAATTCTAAAATTATAGGGTTTCATTCAGGCTTGCCCTCTAAATAGGCTAACTAATTTATTGAAGGTTCCATTTAATGACTATTTCAAAAAAGAATAAAGAAACTAACCTGTTGCATTACTATCTAATACTTACAAGAAGATCTTTCCTTGTTTATGATTATATTCGTAATGTTCACTGTAGACGAAAAAGCCATAACGTATTACGTATACTACAGTATTGGTTTTTTGAAGATAAGATTTTTGGTTAGGCAGAATAGGCCTTTAAATGATAATACTAAGTTTTTACTTTATTTTAGAGCATTTATAAATTGATTCATCTTAAAGACATAATTGATACTATATGCAGTTTGAGCGATATCAAATAGATTCGTTGTTTATTACAACGATTTGATTAGACCTATTTTAAAAAACTTCATATTTTTTTGGATTGGAAGTAGAATCCTCCAAAGAAATTGACAAATCTAAGACATCATATCTAAGACATCAATTTTTGCAAAAATCTAAAACACGATAAAACTCCAATGGGAAGTTTTATCGGAACTAGTATTAGTTTAAAACTAATGTCATTAGATTGGGGTTTAAGTTTCACGTTAAAAATAATATCTCACGGTATTTCTTAAATATATTATATTTATTTATTATTTATTATATTTATTTTATATATGCTCTTTCTTAATAGCATACGTTATATGCTTATATGAACTGGTCCTTACGTCTTGTAGTTGATATATATATAATAATTTATTTCAATAAAAATATTTTTATTTATTTTATTTAATATTAAAAAGTAAATTTTGGAAGAATCAGAATATTCATTAAATATATTTAATGAAATAATTAAGTTAAAATAATAACTTAAAAATTGTATATTAAAAACTAAGCTGTTAATAATAATATCAATAAAATAAAATAAATAAATGCTAATATGGGATCGGTGGGCAATTAGGCTTTTACTCGACCGACTGTCTACATGAAACATTTAACTCATTATTTTTATACTTATATATGATACAGAAGCATGGGTGATATTACAGAATACTGAAGCAGCATTAGGTGCATTTAAGAAAAACATTTTTTCTAAGACTTTTGATTCCCAACGGCGTCGACTTGGGTTTCAGCTTCATTAGGATATTGACGCAAAATATTCAACAGGTTGGTTGGCTTGTTTATAGAACAATAGACATAACACGATGCCGAAAGACAGCGAAACATATGATTAGATATCAATTGAAGGAAGAGAACATAGCGGATAATCGTGTCTCAAGTTTTAAGAGCGCAAAACGCATTTATACCCGATTAAAAATGACCACTCGGAGTAAAGACGCTTAAACAAAAGTGGTGCGGCATGTCAGTAGGTAGATATGTAAGTAATTATTATTTTTTGAATTTTCATCTTTTATATAAAAAATTAAAGGATTTCACTTTATATATTATGTATATAGCAGGAACTGTAACTATTTAACTAAAATTTAAAACGATAAATTACTTGGGTAGTAATCTTACTATTGAATTAACAAGAAATTTTTTTAAATCTATGAATTAAATTAAATTCTCATTTCGAAATGTTTTTTAAGTTTTATAATAAATAAAATATATAACAACAAAATATTATTTACATTTATATCAAAGGTAGTGGCACATGTGGGAGTGGATTGCATTGTAGCGCAAAACTTTTTGCCAGATTACAATTTCTTTCATTCCTCCACATTTTTGCTGGACAATTAAGGAATGTTTCTGCATTAACGCAACCATAAACCATGCTGGCATATGGAGTGCAGCCTTCTTTTAATCTTGGATACATTTTTATGCCCGCAGCATGCATATGAGATTGAACTGCAAAAAAGGATAATTGAAAGAGAAAGATTTGTAAAATTTAAGCAGCATAAAATTTAATCAAACATAACACAAATCTACTCAATTTATGCATGTCCACCCGTTGAGTGTGCATGACTTACTATTCGATAAGCATGTCTCAAAGGAGCGAACGATATGTGGCACAATGTCCTTATCACGTCGATGTACATTATTCTGCAAAAAGTTTTTGACATTTTGCATATCAAAGTCGCCATTCACTAAAGAGCCAGTCTCAGAGTAGATACACTCGGGAAAGCACTGTGAATATAAAATTCGGAAACAAATTGAAGTGACAGTTAAATATAGCAGATACCTCAATATCTCAGCTGAACTTACCACATGTGCATATGCAGGATATTTTTCCTCACTCGTTAGTTGTGCAGTTATTTGTTTTTCACATTTATCAGGTGCGCTGCCGAGATTGATTTCAGGCAAACGGCAACAGGAGTTGACATCCTTTAAAAAATATATTATAAAATTATTGAAAATATTCTTATAAACAAATATAATCATAATTTGTTTTTTTTTTTTTCAGAAAGAGTATTAAATGCAGAATATTATGTAGTTTTATGAAAGTACTTACAAAATTAGCAAAGGTTGGCGGCAATGAACAATTAAAAGAAGATGCGTTAATCTGAATCTAAAAATATAAAGAGAAATTAAAAAAACAAAAATAAATAGATTAAATAATAAAAAAAATATAATAATGACGGAAATATAAATGTGTTTGTAGTTATTTTTATTAGAAATGGTAATAGTACATCATAATCTGTAATGCTTACATACGTTTAATATATGGGCTTAATTAAACCCATATGGAGGTACTCGTCTTCTTTCTCAACAATTACATAGCACGAGCAAAGTAAATGACCAAATGTTACAGTCTGCATATCTTAGAATTTACATGTGTCAGAGACCATAATATCATCATTCAAGGAGGTATTTTACACTATCATGTTCAGTTAAAAAACGTTAAGTAATCTTTGTTTTGTGACATTATTGAAAGTACGACTGCGTTTTCATATGGAAGAGTCCATTTTGTGGTTAGCCATGAACGACAATAAACCGAAATCTCTAGTTCCATATAAAAACTACAGTTCTGAAAGTTACAATTAATACGTTTTTGTATCTTTTCTTTCATCTTAATAACTCCGTCTAGATGTAGAATTATAATTATTTGGCAGTACAATATAACTAACCTAATATAAATATATTACGTATTGTTTTTATAGCATACATATATTATTTTTGATATTTTTCATATATGTTTGTTACAGAGCACTGCCGAACGATGGTAGGGAAAATTTGATTTCAATATTGTAAGAAAACCACTTCCCTTATTGATGTTAAAGTTCGTCTTGATCAAAGAGAAACCTATTTTGTGATATCTCATGAAAGGTCAAAATCACAAAAGTAGTATAGATAAAATTACATTTTGATTTTGATTGTTCCGAATTATTTAACTGAAACTCTTCTTCAGCCATGTAAGTAAAGTGGATTTACTGTATAAATTTGTTTTAAGGTTAATAATTAACTTAAAAGCCTTACAGATTCAACATTCGTCTGTTTTGTGGAAAGCATTAAGAGTTTTATACGAAATTGGAGGTATTGATAAACGCGCTTCTAATATTTATATTGTAGATGTTCTACAGTGAGTTGAAAAACAAAGCTGTTATTAACTAAACCGAAATATAACCGATGTTTAGATATCTCTTCTTAAGTTACCATCTTCTGAAGTTGCCATCACACCTCTTGATCAACAAGAGATGTGATGTCGATAGTCTGGTTTGCTTTCATGTTTTCTAATATTCTAGCGTACAGTTAAAAATT